CTGTGTGCCCCAAATTTGCCCCTCAAATTTGGGTTGTGTGTTCTCTGTGCCCCCCAAATTTGAGCCGTGTGCCCTGAATTTGGGCTGTGTGTTCTCTGTGCCCCCCCAAATTTGGGCTGTGCGCCCCTCTGCCCGTGCCTGACCCCCCAAATTTTGCCCCCCCAGGACTGGCAGCCCCCGTTTGCTGTCGAGGTCGACAACTTCAGGTTCACCCCCCGCATCCAGCGGCTCAACGAGCTGGAGGTGAGCGGGGTGAGGATTTTTGGGGGGGCCGATTTTGGGCTGTGCACAGGTCTCACCCCACATTTTTGCACCCCAATTTCCTCCTCCAGGCGCAGACCCGGGTGAAGCTGAATTACCTGGACCAGATCGCCAAATTTTGGGAAATCCAGGGCTCCTCCCTCAAAATTCCCAACGTGGAGCGGCGCATCCTCGACCTCTACAGCCTCAGCAAGGTGAGGGGGGGGCAAAGTGGGGGTCACACCTTGGGGGGGTGTTGGGGAAGGGGCCCCCCTCGGTGGAAATTGTCTCCTGGGGGGAGGGTTTTCCTGTTTTGGGGGTTCATTCCCCCAAATTTAGGGGTGTTTTCTGATCTGGAGGGGTGATTTTTTCCTCTGGGGGTTTATGTTTTATTGAGGGGGGGTGATTGCCCCCTGTGGAGGCGTGTTCTCATTTGGGGGGGGTTAATTGTTCTTTTTGGGGGCATTTTCTCATTTAGAAATTTATTTGATTTTCCCATTTAGGAATTTAATTGTGTTTTTGAGGAGTATTTTGGTTTTTTGGAAGATATTTTTGTATTTAGGGTGTTGGTTGTGTGGCGAAAATCTTTTATTTTGGGGTGTAGCTGTTTTTCCTGGGGGAGCTTTTTCTAATCAGAGAATTAATGGGGGAGCATTTTCTAATCAGAGAATTAATAATCAGAGAATTAATTCTTTATTCTGGGGGGAAAGTTTGGTTTTAGAGGAGTTCAGTGCCCCCATGGAGGGTGTGTCCCCATTTAGGGGGTCACGTCCCCACTTTTGGGGGAACATGCTGAGTTCTGGGGTACTCAGCGATGGGGGTGGGGGGGTACAAGTACCAGCCATGGGCACAAGTGACACTGGGTGGCCCTGGGTGGCTCTGGGGTGGCCCAGGGTGGCCCTGGGGTGACCCCGGGTGGCTCTGGGGTGGCTCTGGGGTGGCCCAGGGTGGCCCTGGGGTGGCCCTGGGGTGGCCCAGGGTGGCCCTGGGGTGACCCTGGGTGGCTCTGGGGTGGCCCGGGGTGGCCCAGGGTGGCCCAGGATGGCCCTGGGTGGCTCTGGGGTGGCCCAGGGTGGCTCTGGGGTGGCCCTGGGTGGCTCTGGGGTGGCTCTGGGGTGACCCTGGGTGGCTCTGGGGTGACCCCGGGTGGCTCTGGGGTGGCCCTGGGTGGCTCCGGGGTGGCCCAGGGTGGCCCTGGGGTGGCCCTGGGGTGGCCCAGGGTGGCTCTGGGGTGGCCCTGGTGGCTCTGGGGTGACCCTGGGTGGCTCTGGGGTGGCCCAGGGTGGCCCTGGGGTGGCTCTAGGGTGGCCCAGGGTGGCTCTGGGGTGACCCTGGGTGGCTCTGGGGTGGCCC